TTATGTTTTTCCTCATCGGTTTCTGATTACAGTCCCAAAAGAGCCATTTTTTTTTATTCAATCAGTCAGTACGCGCAAGCAAAGCCTATAAATAGTATAACAGATTTGCCGATATATACCCAATGACAGAAATAATCCCTTTGCGAACTTTTCCCCAGTACCGATGCCAGAGGTTGGAACGAATAGAACATTGTACCTTGGTTGGACAAAAAGCCTCAGAGCGTCACGGACCGAGGCTAAACAATCTTAAGAGAGGCAAATAAAGAACCACCGCAGGGCCAAGCCTGAATGAAGTATTCAAAAATTGGACAATGGGTTGGTATGAATAGAAACCCTTCCGTGTACGCGCATGCGATAAAGATTGCTAGTGCAGGTATTGAGTCAGTTGGACAAAGGAAGACCCCACCTGAGTGCACCTAAGCAAGCCGGGCACGCGAGCTCACGTGCCAATGCAGCACACGGGCCAATCGCAGGTACTCGGAACTCTCTGTAGTAACCACACGAGTGGCTGGAAATAACGCCGACCGGGCCACGCGAACAACAGACTTCCGGAGTTGGGTGAACGCCCCCCGTTTGCATGCATGCCACATGGGACCGCCGTGAAACGCGCAAGAAAAGAAAATCTATAAGATTTGCTTTACTGATGCGTAATTAATATGTTATTAAGTTTTGGTAATTGGTAATGAATTTGGTAAAAAAAAATTGGTAACGTTGTTATGTGCGATCAGCCACATTGGTGATGATTTGTAGTGTGTGTATGCTTTGCAATGTAAAACATGAACAACGGTAATTTCGTTTCGTAACATTAAATTGCGTTATCTATCATTGAAAAGCAACTTCGAGGTGGCATGACTGCCACCAATAAATACAGTTATTATTCAATGATAACATGTGAGGGAATGAAGCAGCCCCCCCCAAAAAAAAAAAACACCCACAATTCTCTCCTTAAGTAAATCATCACTAGACAGTCCTTTTTTCTTTATTATTTTGAAAGAAATAGCTACAACAGCCTCAAACGCATTCATACATAAGACCTATCACTATAATAAAACTTAACAGCTTCTCTTTTATTTTAAAGAGTGTGTCAAGTCTTTGGGATTCATTTAGGCCTAAAGCTGCAATGCATTTAGAAAGGTTTACTCATTCTTTCCTGTAGAAACTGTTATCCACAAGAATACATAATAGTCACAATATAACCCTCATCAGAAATACTTTTTCCTCTATCAACTGACAAAGTATTTTCTATTTCACTGTAAAAAAAAAAAAAAAAAAAGTTGGGTAAATGGGTTGGTATGTACCAATGTTGGCCACAATACCAACTGCCTGCACTCTCGGGCAAATTCTTCCCAATAGTTATTTAGTTGGTCAATGTTTACCCTAATTAACCAACAACAAAAAGAGGTTAATGCATACCAATGTTGGGCACGTAATACTCACAGCACTCAACACGTACTTTGAGTCGCAACTTTGCTCATGTTAGCCTAAAATGCATCATGCTTAACCATAATATGGCGACTACATAATCTATAGTTTATTTTCAAATTAGAGCTTCTCAAACAGTTTGATCGAAATGTGTCTACTTCTTCTGGAGCTAATCGATCACGGACTGACCTTCAAACGACCTGTTTACATGTCGCTGAGCTACACACGGGACTCGGAAAGAGTGACAATAACCAGTGCAAGGCTGTACCATGGCGTATACGCGGTCCTCTGTGGGATATGCTCGGGCGTTATGCGTAAAACACACGGACTACCCAGACATCACCCAGACAAAGGCAGTGTGCCCGGCCTTGCGAAGCCTAGCACGGCTCGCTGCACCACCGGACTAGTCATAGCGTCTCTTTTTACGCTCCATCGGACTTTTTGACGAAAATACTTCTCGATGTTTTAAAGGTTTTCTTATTAGATTTTTTTTTATATTTTTGTAGGCCAAGGTTTTTTTCTTATTGGCAAACAATTATTATTACTTAGGATAGAAAACGTGCTTCCGATAATTAAAAAAAGGATTGATTCAGTGTCATTGTAATCCAATAGTCGATTGTTAAGTTGAGTTGTATCGAAAGGTCAAACACGAAAATTCTACCAAGAGTTGCGAAATAAGTTTGTCTTTAAATTACTGGCTTGGTAGTCTCAACATAGCCTCAAAATCTCTAGCGACAGATTTATAGACTGTATCCAATTGGCCATGTATTTCCATGGCCAATTTTATGTAGAACCACGGTATGTTCTGTTGGTGTCCAAATAGTGTCACTTAATTTAAGCTTTTCAAACAGACTCGTGTGTTCTCTACTTACACGTCTGCTTACACGTTCTCTACGTACACTTTGAAAGACCTAATTAAATTTACAGTTAACCTAAATCATGGCAGTTTGTCAGTGCCTTCAAACTGTACTACTCGGAGGCTACACTCAACCAAAAAAGAAAGTCCCCCTCCCCTTCCAATACTTTTTTGTCTAACTCAAAAACTACTGAGCACCTCTCGCTCAAATAACGACTAATCAGTACGGAAATTCCTTAGCAATCCAGCCATACTCTCTATTTAGCCCAAAACAGTGATAATGTGTACGAATGTATGTCATTGATGACAAATAGTACCGAAAACAGTTGCACTTTTGTATGCGCAAGTTGTGGTTCACACTCAACTTGCACGCATACAAAAAAACCTTTTTTTCGGTACCATTTGTCATAAATTGCATAATTGTGTACACATTATCACTGTTTTGGGCCAAACAAAGAGTGTGACTGGATTACAAAGGAGTTTCTGTACTGATCAGTCGTAGTTTGAGCGAGATGTGCCCAGTAGTATTGAGGGGGCTTTTCTTTTTTGGTTGAGTGTAATTTCACGTGTGTCAGAATTCGCTTAGCATGTATGTGTGTCAAACTATCGGCTAGGCTATGTGATGTGTACAAAATACCTGCTAATAGCCAAAATGTCTGCTATGTTCTGCCTCACCCGACCATTTTCTATAAGCAAAAATATGGATTTCTCAGCATTTCATGTTCGAACTTCACGGATTGTGTTTTTGAACGCGCAGTACCGTTATACCTTATACTGTCTTGCTCGGACTGAAGTTGGGGGCGCAGTACAACAATGTCTGTCCCAGATTTTGGGATCTGTGATAGTTATTGCCTTCGGGACAATGTTTCCCTTTATGACAAGTAATGTAGATGGGCTAAGTGGAAAAAAACTGAAATCTGATTGACTGAAATATGTTTGAAAGAGAATATTAATGACAATTCGAAAAACCCACGTGATTCTTAACATTTCACACACAAAAATCCATTAAAAGTTTTTGTATTGGTCGCGCGGATGTAAAAAAAAAAAGAAAAGAAAATCTTTCCGAAATATGTTTCTCTTGAACTACACCCGTTACATAACATCAGCATTTTCAAAAGATACAGTCTCATAATTTCATCATTAATTCCAGTTCAATCCATGCTTCAACCCCTGTGAAATCAACTCAGCATCGTATGCGATGTAGTTGATTCATCTCATCAACTTAACAATAAAGTCATTTCCCGAAAGCACCCACCCTTTCATTGTCAATCTATCCAAAAAGAGGGACGGCAGGGGAGAAACAACAACGATGTTACAAGAGAAAGACAGCCACACAATGAGTACGTAAACTTGCTATTTATTCTGTTGTTATTAAAACTCTCTTGGAAATTATCGTAGAAAACAAGAATTATATTTACACGACCTTCCTCGGGCCAAACAATTCTTCCGTAAAAAAACAAAATGTACAATGGATAGGTAGCAAAAGGTTCTGACTCAGCCAGCCAAGCTGGGCTCGTCAGACACGGGTACAAAAATAAACTTTCAGTTTTCCAATTCGTCAATCGCGTTAACAACGCAAACATAACATACTTTTTAACCACATGGCGCACTTTCTTGTCGACTGATCATTATAGCAGTTGTCTAACCACAATGGACATTTTCTGGTTTCGCAATAAGTCATTCACAGCATTCCTGTCATTCATACCTATGTCTCGTTTTGCTTTTAAAGGTAATGTACAACATTTGCAAACATTACAAAAAAAGCTACCAAATTATTATGAAATAGGCCTACCTTATTTGACTGTAATGTGAATAATAGTTTCAAGCATCCTGTGAAATCATGGCACCTGGTGTGCTGTCATTTTAAGAAAAGTGGAAGCTTGTGTTGCATCACTTTCCAACGATGGTTGGCCCATCGTTGAACAAAAATGACTCTTTTCAAATACTGCCTCCAATTCATCAAATTTAGTTAGATCACATTTTGTTTGCAACCGGTTACACATCCGTGAACGGGTGCAAGCCAGCTAGTCTGGTTCCCTGACCTGATGTCTATAAATTGCTCTGTTTCGTCTGAAGTAGGGTCAGGGAATCAGACTACAAGAACAGCATTTTTTCTTCGTTTTGCCAGCATCCATGAATACAAAACTTTAAGCAGGTTAGTGTAATAATATTTGCTATAAAATACTAAAAACCAAATCCGTCCATTTCTGAAAATTACAGCAAAAGCAAATGTTGTATATTAACTTTAAATTTGTCACATACATTATTGTTATTTAAGTCACAAAATGAATACACAAGTATCGCAAGCGACGACAACATCATTTGACATGAAGTCATTGACAAAATTCTCTCTCAAATGAATACCCAAACTAAAAAAAAGCAATTTAGAATTAGAATTAGAATTTCCCCAAGCCTGAATACAGTTTCGTATATTGTCAAATGCAAATACTAAAATGAATCGCAGCATACATTATATAATTTGGGGGTAGCACACTAAATGGTAGAGCACCGAGTTCTAAAGAGTTGCCTTTTTACCAAGTTTAAGTAGGAATCGTCTCTTTTTAGTTAATTTATTTCTTTTTGAAAGAAATGTGAACAATAAAAACATCAAACTCCTATAATGTGAACATATTGTAGAATCGGCAGTTATTGTAGAATTCACAAATGAAAATGTCTCAATCAAAAATGAAATCTTGCTAATTCTTGTGAATTCCTTCTGAAAAATTATGAATATATTATGTAATATAGAAAAATATTTCATGTAAAGCAATTTTTTTAACAAAAAAATGCAAATGCTCAATACGATTACTCTACAACCGACTAAAATGCTGATACAGCGGCTAACGCGACCATGAATTTCTCCGAGCGTGGTCAAATCAGAAACTTTTTTTGATTTCCGATACAAATAAAACAATACAATTATGACTTTTCTTTTACAAGTATGAAGCTCTCTCTGTACAAAATAATATTTATACAACTTTTATGATATTTACAGATATTGGAAGGCACGCAAAGAACGCAAGATAAGTAACAGGCACTTTATAAATTATCCCATTTTTTTTACAAGAAGTAGAATTAACTAATCGAGCAGACGTAATAGTTAACAATTTGAGATTGTGTGGAATTTGAATCATTTTAGTAAACTCGTCAAACAACGCTAAATTATGTAAGAAAGTTTGTCCAAATGTTTGGTCCCTTGATTTTGCAATTCTACATTCTTGAAAACTATAATTACAGAAAAAGTTCGGCAGAAACGAGAGACACCGACGAAGGAGCTGAAGAAAGCAATGCTAAAGAAGTCCCTTTGGAAGATCTTACTTTTAAAAATTGAGCCTATCTTTTCTAGAAGAAGTGGCCCGCTGAATACATGTCAATATCTGAAGCTCCGTCCGCCGTGCCTGCCCGTTGATACCAGCACAATCATGAGCGGTGCATTGCACCGGGCTGGCCCCGTGATTCACTCCACGCGCTCCCGGTGGATTTTTCTTTGTTCGTAGCGGCCGTTTCCCGTACGGTGCAAGGATTTTGTTCTTTTTAGGGGTTCGGTTGGCGTGTGTCCTCGACGGTCGCCCCCTTTACTCGGTCCCCCCTTTTTGATTGGCAGACCGGTGCGCCTGACGCAGACACGTCGAGGGATGTCATTGGTCACATCTCCAGCCGGCCACGCCCTCTCCTGAAGAAAGTCAAAGAAAGAAAAAAAGTCTGGGTGAGTCAACGAGAAACTTGATTGGCAGAAATTGGCGGGCAAGAGCCCGTGCTTTATGAGTGGAAACTCACCGTCCAAAAAATGGACGTAGTGAGGAACAAAGACACATGCACCCATTCGGCATTATAACATCCTATAAATTTATGGACATACACTGAAACTTTCAACAGTCTCCCAAACAAATGTTGTAAAAAAAAGTAAAATGCAATTAAAGACAGTATTTAGAATTGCATCACAAAAAAAGATTGATGGAAAACCAACAAACTAATTCCTCTCACCTTTCAAAATCCTTTTTTTTTCCAAACAAAAGCGTTTGTGATTTTAGCCTTTTTTTTTTTTACTATCAGAAGCCATTTTAGTGTGGAAAAGTGTTGAAACAGTAAATGTGTTGGTTCGGTGAAAATGTGTCATTGCAGAATTAAAATCGTTTGCATGCAAACCAAATTCAAAGTGATAATAATTAAAATCAATTCCAAACTACTTTTAATCAATAGTTTCAAAACATATTATGGATCAAAACAGAGGCTGTTGTTTTTTTGGTGTAACAGTTCAACAGAAAAGGTGAAAGCAATGGAATTCTCTCAACTAAAGGATAAACGGCCTAAACTCCACGTGAAGTTTCAAATAAATAAAAACTCCATGCATTCCATTTACATTTCAAAAACTTCAAGAAAAGTTCACCCTGTTTTCAAATTTTTACTTATCCATTTGCAAAACCTGCTTGTGAAAAAGTTTTCACGAGTTTGAAAACCGTTTCAGCAGGAAACGGCACCAAGTGCGGCCCGTAAAATGTGCTTTTATGACCCGTCGTGGCAACCAACCGCACACGGTGGGCTAGGGGCCAGTTGAGAAAAAGGTATGAATTTTTGATTTTTAATAACTACCGGTTACATTGAAGGCACGTGGATCTCCACCCGTTTAATTAAGGGGTGTTAACCGCTGCTGTAAACATGACCACGCGTTATTAAGACAGTTACAGGAATCGGGTGTTTGTCAGAGGGGTAATAAATTTGCACACACGCGTGCCGTTTGTTTTTACGGGTTGCATCACATGGCACTGATTCTTACCCAGATTATGTCGGCTTTGTCGCGGCAAGCCTGCGGTGGCGGCGCCGTGCAATGATCATCAAGTAAAGACTCTTAAATCATTAATGTACACACATTGTTGCACACTGTGAAAGCAAATTTAATTAGGTATCATCGATCTGTTCGCTGAATAGAGAAAAGTCTTCATGAGCACCCCATTAGAAGGAAGAACTCAAGTTTCGATCAGAGTGTTGTCACTGTTAAATTTTGATTTCGACGAACTTTTACAGTGTATTTTTCAGGAAAACAGATTGTCGTGAATGAGGTGGAGTTTAATTACCGTAAAATATGAAATTAATAACACAAAAACAATGGTTTAATTTCCCAAACAAGTGGATAATTCATTCCTACCTCCATGGATAATTGAAGGGAACAAAATAATTCTTACATTTTCGTTTCGTTACCTGTTGTTTTTAAAAAAAAAAAAGGTAATCTTGCACGAATTCTTTACATATGAAAACTTACCTTTATAAACATTTACATCAGGGCGTTGTTCAGCAAGATCAAGCCGTCGTAAACCAGTCTGTGAAATTGACAAGTTCCTCCTCCTCCGGCGTGAGCACCTCACTTCCCGAGGAATCCGGGGAATAGCTGGGTGACGGAGAACTACTCGTCAGCGAGCAGGTCGGCGAGAGCGAGCCGTTGAAGACGGCGTTGACGGCGTCAGTCTCGTCCAAGAGTTCCTGCAGCTGCTTGATATAGTCCACGGCAGAGCGGAGCGTCTCCACTTTGCTCATCTTCTTATTGGCCGCGCCGTTTGGCAGCTGCTGACGGAGACTGGCGAATCCCAGGTTGACCAGCTTGACTCGGTTCCTCTCCCTCTCGTTGCGGCGAGCCACGGCCACCGGTGGAGTTTGCTGCAAATAGTTGAAGTGAATTCGCCGCTTGCATCGCACGAGCTCCGGCTGGGACGGGTCTGACCGGTCTAGCCGCCTCTTTGTGACTCGCTTGGGGAGCGTCGAGTTGACTTCGCTAACCAGCTGCTGTACCGCCTGCTGAAGAATTTTCTGCGAGTTTTCCATGCTGTTCCGATTTTTTGGGCGTCCAAATGTTTTCGGAGGAGTTTTCTCAAAAACTGATCAAATTTCACCCAAAAAAAATCAGACTCGCGATAAAGTTTTTGGAAAAAGTTGGTGAGAGGCTGAGTCAGGTCTACTAACGGTTGTACGGGAGTCAGTTTGGCCCACGAGGGGTAACTCAGTGCCTATATAGTTTGATGTCGATCCCCACCGAAATAAGTCCCACCCACATGTACCCCTTCATTGAAAACCCTGCACCCCTCTACGATACGGCTCGTGCGGTCCTGAATAGAACACGAAGCTCATTAAAGTCTTGTAGCGTCCTGTCGCGTGAGTTCATTTGCATATGAATGGGCAATGGGCCAGGGGGATTACTCCTGGACCGATCACAAAAGGATGTTTATCTAAATTCGGTGACCGCCAAAGTTCCCCAAAAGTGTCACTCACGGGAAGCTCACGTGGGCACCGGAATATCACCGCTGATTGAACAGAAAACTAAGAACAACAAACTCTGCAAAGGTAAGGGTACCCTGAAGCACTCGTATTCACCCATAATAACTCAGGTCGCGTGGGCTCAAGGATTTCATCCAATCTTGGGTACAATAGACACCATTATAGCCTGAGGCACTCTTCACCTTTTTGGGTCCACCTTTAGAGTGTATTTATCCACCGTTAACCCAGCGGTACGTGTACTTAATTAGCCACAGCGCACACGAGGCTAGTCTTTCCATGTACATGTATAGGTTGCCTTTGTGGGATCATAGACATGCTTGTTTGCAACCATCAATTATTCCCAGTTTCAGGGAGTGTGCCAATTCATCTTCTGGGTTCTCCATATCACGGAGCTTTAGTCCCACCTTCCCTGTACCTTCAACTTCAGATGCATCCGTATTCCGGATACGACGGAGTCAAAATAGTGTCGTATTCATTTGCTCTCACAATTACTCAATCGTGAAATATATACCGGCAAGATTCACGGCAAATCTAGGATGTTTAACCACCTATTACACAAACAAGGCGAACAAACATCTTGAGTATAAAAAGTAGTCATATTTGCCAAGAAAACTCTTTCCGACAAAAATTTTTTTTAAATAGTTGGATTTCCCTAAATAGAAAGTTTGATCGTGATTTTCTTTCTATAAATATAATCTGAAAATTGAAAGATCTTTTGTCAATTTCACGGCCCAGACTTTACTCGCGTACAGGTGAGCGGTGACTGGTTAGGCTCCGCCCTTTATTGATTCAATCACAATCGGTCGCGTGTGCGTAAAACTCTACCGACCAATCACAGTGCTCCACCTAGGTGACCTCGCTTACCGATTACAAAGGGCTTGCACGTGCGGAAGCTTTTTGTCTGAATAGTTTGGGCCCCGAACAATAAAAAGAAAAGAGAAAGAAAAAAGGAATAGAAGAAGAAAAAAAAAAGATTATTGCGATAAGCCAGGTAGCGAGCCCGTGGCGGATGGCGTCACCGGCTCGTGCACAAGCGGCCTTGTAGATAACTTTGTTTGCTCAAGAAACATACCTTGACCCCTTTTTTTTGGCGAGCCAGTTTTCAGAGACCAAATCTTTTGCCTGTTTATCATCCTCAACCGTCCATGGCTTGAGGTATTTCAGTGTACGTTTGGTAATGCAACGTGCTGTGTTAGTGATGACAGTCGTTCATGGCAATTTTATTTTAACAAAAAAAATATTCGAGATTGGTAGATTGACATACCTGTTGGGCTTGTCGTTTTACGAGATCGCATGTTTGCCAGGACATATACATGAAACGTGTTTTCGTTAAGCACGGAATCGGAGCATTCATCACAGTGTGTACAAAGTTGGTCTGAACGTGGCAACTGTCTTCGCCAGGTCGTGATGTCCGATGCAACTGATGCAGCATCTCGCTTAGCAGCATTGGCATGCCGTGCAGCTAATGCCTCACACCACCAAAATGGTGCATAAGGAAAATAACCACCAGAATTTATCAATGACCACTAAAATCATGATAGGCCTAATGCTTCATTTGTCTTCTGAAAAGAGTCGTATGTCCTGTTTACAATAGAAATTGGTCTGGTATATCGTATTAAAACAAATCATGGCTGTTTTAAGGCATACCACGTCAAAAAACTCAAATCAAGTTTCCCCATGACACGTGAATCAAAAGCCAACAACGCGTAGTTCTGAAACCGTGAACCATGAACTATTAATTGCTCTCTGAAAATCATTCTAGCGGTGGAGCAGTGTAGACACCCACAATCCGCAGCGCTTTTCAAGTGTTTACAGCTTGGTTGACAACTAACCTTTTAAATCGAATTATTGGCAAATTGCCGAGTGCATGACGAAAGCACTTTTTTTATCACGCATTCCTTGGTATGTGACTCCCTGCGTTGACTAAATAGCGCCCTCAATAACGTTTATACTCATCATTAGACTTCATCCAAGTCTGTACAGAGGACAGATTTTCCGCCGTAAGGTAAACGCGAACGATTTGAAACCTAATATATGATTACTACATGGGCGTAGGCATGTTTAAAACTTCGTTCTCGAGTGACCTGCAAACAGTGTTGGCGATTACGAACGACCAAGTGCGTGTGGCCATGCCGCGCATTAAAGATGGCAGCCGCCCAAAACGCTGAATAAAAAGAAGGGGAAAGCAAGGATTCTATGAAAGAATTTATATCCACGAACAGCTATACAAATCCCACCCTACGATCCGTACAATATTTTTATCATTACAGCTCCTGCACTGAATGAGTGTTTTCAATTGTATGCACAAAAATTAAGACAAGTTTGCGGTAAGTCCGCCATCTTTGCTCTTGATGAGCTTCATCTACTCCCCAATAAGTGGGGAGTGAGAAACCACTTCGCGAACGAACGTCGTTCGCGTGTTGGTTCTTGTCATTCGAAACCATGTTCTCGTGTTCATTCAACACCAGAACGGTGTTTCGAATACGCCGCATTCGTACATTTATTTACACCGGTAGACACAAATCACTTTTGTTTCATCCCAAAATACTGGATGCGCAAACAGCTTGTTATTAGATATAAAGACTAGTGTTGTACTCGTGCTCCTGAAAATGTACTTGTACTCGTACTCGTAAGAAAAAAATGACTGTGCTTGGACTCGTACTCGCGAAAAAGTACTCGTACTCGTTCTCTTGCAGATGATCTCCCGCAACAATTACACATTTATTTACAATAATTAACATGAGTTAATTTTCACCACTGCAAATGGTATATCGTTATAGCGCCCTCACGAAACCTACCGGTCGTTCAAAGTTAGTATTACTCTGAAATACATGTATACATTTAAGCACAATATAAAATAAATTGGTGAGCTTTTTCAGACAAAGCACAAAATGATCACTTCGTTTTGTATTGGTTTGTTTCATTTCTTCTTTTGGATATGTTATTTTTTCCAAGCTTCGGTTCGCAAGGAACCAGATTGCAAGGGAAAAGCAACATGTTATATGATCACCACTAGGACAATGGCTGCTTGTTCAAATATCACAAACGATAATACCAACAGTTCTAATCCCCGCCTATCAATGTAACATGTAAGGATTACATAACTCAATCGGGGAGATTGTCCAATGAATCCGAAATTAATTTCCCTGAGTGTAGACACATACATAGTGGCTACTTATGATTAGAGAGGAAAACATTACCCTAACCCCTTTCATTGTTTTAGTTAACCTTAGTTAATTCAAGAAACACTTTGAATGTTTGAATATTTATATTTATTTATATAGTATCTACCATCAATATCCACGCTCCAAGCCTAGGCGTTCAATGGGGAGTGCGCCCTCTCTTGACTGTATTAAAAGAAGGGGATAGTGGGCGCCCTACAAACCCATAATAAGTTTTATTCCTCCATGGTTGAATCAAAGTACCTTATTTATTCTGAAAATGGTGTTTTAAACGCTCATGGATGTTAAGGAATTATAAAAAAAAAAACACTGACATGGTGTTAATTTTGGAAAACGTGAATTTCCTCCTTGAAGCATTTTGCAAGGTATGACAAATATTTAACCAAAATATGATATCCTTGAGAAGGAAACCCTTTATTTTCATTGATGTCCTTTTAAAACGATTTTGCCTGAGAGAAAAAAACAACGATTGTTGCTGGAACAGCCTTTGTTTTCATGGTATATTTCGTGTTCCACGAGAGGTTATTTAATTAAAAACCAGCCAAGTACAACAATCTTATAAAATGTAAGCACTCCAATAATTGCCCAGTTTTTTTTTTACATGTGAGATAGGCAGCATCGAACTCGTCATATGACGTATTAAACGTGTGCTGCATTAATTGTCACATTTTTGTTCGAGTCGACGGAATGAGAATACAAGTGTACAAATTACCAACAGTAGACTACAAATGCACATAACATAGACAGACTACTAGACTGTGACTGCAATAGTGATTGGGCATTGGTGGATTCAGGAGAGCCCTTGATTTTGCTTGATTGTTGAAAATGTCCACCGTTGCGTTCAGCTACATATCTTATCTTGAGACGCTCTGCTTAATTAAAAAGACGTCCCCTTACGTTTTATCTTTCGATCCGCAATCACAGGAATTAAAATGTCTGATTTAAAATACTGAAGTTCTTGAAAAAAAACACCTGACAATATATTTCATATGGTCCTAATATTTCGATACAATAATTTTCAGCAAGGTAGTTTTGGCAATGTGTTTATTCATTATTTAGTAAACTGTGGTCTTGTGATCATTTTGTTTTCTTCCTAACCGCCACCTTGGCAGCATTCCTCCATCTTTGAACCACCGGGTTCGTAGACGGCGCACCAAACATCTCCAACCTCCTTCGCTCCTGTTTGTCTCTGCGTCTTTGCTCCTCCAATATCGAGATAAACAATCGGACCTTTGACATGACCCTCTTTTGCCTGTCCTCATCGATGACCTTCAGGTGGTTGACCTCCTGCTGCTGTTGCATCCGATCTAGCTCACGCTCTCGTGAGATATGTGAAGCCGCCAGATGCTTGTGGAGTTGCTGGACATCGTCCTCGAGCACAGGAGGTTTGTCTAAGTCTAAATCCTGCCGCCAGCTTTTGGCTATCTTGGACCCGACGCTAGCCTCTGGCTTTAGTGTTGAGGACGTCACGACCTCGTTCCCCGAATCTGACTCGTCGTCGTTGATCGTCAGGTTGGCTTTAATGCTTTTCTTCGTCATGGCCGACTGCTGTACGGGGTGGACTTTCAACCGCGTGCCCAGAGTCGACCGCTTTTGGACAGTCAAGTGCTTTTTGGACATCATGACTTTCCCCATGGTTCGGAAACTGAACCGTCGTGGGGATCTCTTGGCTGCAGACAGTTTACTTTCATCTTCCTCCTGAGTGATGGAATCTGCATCCAGAGGAGACTTGCGTCGAGACCGACCACCGCCCATTAGACTAACAATGGACGCCTTGAGCAAGCGATCACGGCGCTTCTTCATGGCAGCATCTTCCACAGTTTGCTTAGGTTTCCTTCGGACTTCGGGAATGACGTTCGGCGTTGGACTTGGCGGTGTCCCTGGCTGAGCAGCTCTGCTCATCAGTAAGGACAACAGACCGAGAGAGGGCGCACTTTGTGTCTGATCAGACGTGTCTTGGTCATCAGTTCCTCCATCGTCGGTCTTATTTTTCTGCCCAAGGAAAGACTTGCTGTTACTGCCAGCATGTTTGTGTATTTCCCCGTTTTCCATAATCGTTACGCGTTTTTCGTTCTCGTTCCCATTTGTTTTAATCTTCAAGGCTGATTTTAACCATCCCGTCTTAGCCGAATCAGAGGCTGGCGAAAAAGCAGGACTCGCGACTGGACCATCACTCACAGGTGTGGCTTTCAAAGCATACCTCAAAGATTTTGGTTTTGCCGATGTAGCAG